GGAAGGAGGGGGAGTGGGGCTGGAGCCACAGAGGGAGGAGGAGGACCATCTCGGGGTGGGAGAGCGCGGCGAACGCCCCCTCCTCGCGGGGGGGGGAGGAGTGGACACCCCCAAATATCGACTTAGTTTGCACGCGGTGGAGAAGCAAGAGAATCGAGATCTGCGTCTGACGGAGTGTGTGGGCGCTGTGTGAGGAAACCCAGGCGACGGAGGGCTGGGGTCTGCGCCGTGTGGATTGGCCCGGGCCCCCAAAGCTCCCCCGGGCCATGCCCCGGGAAGGGCCGGGGCGGGGAGAGTCGGCGGGAAGGGGGGGCGGCTGCCTGCTCCCTCACGGTATATCGCGGGTCGCAGACTCCTCATTTACGACTTCGCGAATTCAGTGATTTGACCGAGCTAATGAGTTAGTCACCCAGTGTAGTAAGCTGCCCCCCGCCCCCCAACACTGTTGCCGCCGGAACGAGTTGAGACGGACGTGTCCTGTGGCCACAGCGCTGGGCCCAGGGAAGGCTGTCCCGGGGTCGACGTGTCTGAACTGTCACTTCCAGCCCTAACGTCGTGTCCGTCCGGGCTTTTCTGCACCTGACGCAGGTCTTCCTCGCGGGGCGCCAGGGCGGGGACCCTCCTGCTCCCTGGCCCCCAGGCCTGATTGTCGCTCTTCGGGGACAGACGAAGGGAGCAGTTTCCAGAGCGAATTCCTAGCAGAGGCCTGGAGCACTGCAAGCCTGGGGGCCCAGGAAATGGGGGTGGGGGGGAGACAGGGGCTCCGGAAAGACGGACGTGCGCAGGGCGGCGAGACTGTCGTGGGCGCGACGTGAGGGGCAACTCATCAAGTCGGGGAGCCTGGGGGGTCGCCACAGCTCCGACCGCCTCACTAGGGTCACAGTGAGAACCGGGCCGCTGCGGCCGCTGGGCGGGAGTTGTCTAGTGGCAGCCGACTCAGGGGCCCTGACAGCCACTCACTCGCCCTCACTCACTGAAAGAGGGAGCGAGTAGCGACCAAGGGTGGTGGGCTTGGGCGAAAGAAGTGGGAGCAACGGATGAAAGAAATGAGGCCCGTTCCCTGTGGATACTTGCGGGCGGTGGAAACCACATTCTTTTTTTCGTTTTGTTTTTGTTTTT